ATTCGAACTCTGTTTCCGCATCCTGCCTAAGGACTTCAGCTCCCTCAGGAGGCCGTTCTTCTTAGCCATCCCTTGAGGCGAGAGGAAACCCTGTTAGCAAGAAGCAACCGCTTGCAACCTTCCTTCCCGGTTTCTGGGGAAGATGGCAGAGAAGATTGCAGGGGGTGGATCGCCTGATCACAGAGTGTTTGGCAACCAGTCGTAAGTGTGAAACAACTGGGTTGCCAAACACCCAGATTGTGATCGCATTGTGATCACATTCACCTGCAACATTTTGCAATGGCTGCCATAATTCCAAACCATCATTAAACGTGCAGTCGTAAGTTGAGGACTAACTTGTGTTATTTTGCACATCAGTCTTAAGAATAGACTGACTCCAAAACTGCCTGTATGTTCAAAGGAGTGAAAGAAACGGAAACAGCTTGAGGTATTTGTGTTTCCTGTGTGGTTGTATACATTAACACATTTGTAGGGTTATAAAGGCATACATAAAACACATATTCACAGTATGTGATTGGTTGACTAAGTTGATGCACCAATCAAATGATTGCATGCAGCTAAGCACTTCAAGTGAAGCCCTTGAGATGAAATGTCATCATTTCTAGTGGGCAGCCTTGTTTTCTGCATTTCAGTGAAAAATAAGGATCTGATGATATTCATTTATGTATGAACAGTTTACAGAACTACCCATGTCACTTTTATTTAGAATTTTGTTGTGTCTGTGTGAACTTAGGCCAGGGAAGAAATCTTGCAAGTTTTATGTCAAGCGCTTTGCTTCTAGCACTTGAATAGCAGGATAGAAACTATTTTCTAAAGTGCCAAAATATTCAAGTCAGATGAAGATCCTAATCTAAAACAAAACTTCCTTTCTTAGAAAAGTCAGCATTCTTGCTACCTATGTTTCTAAATCGGGTAATGACAAAGAAAAGCATCTACTTTTATAGTAGTGCCTATTGCCCCAAGGATAGACATCTGTTTTGGAAAATATATGGAGCTAGAAAACAAGTTGATACTTCTAACGACAATTTCCATCTTGCCTGCTTGTTAGGTTTATTAAGTGCTTTTCCCTCAGATTTCTGAAGTCCGTTTTTGCACCTACTCCTGTGGATTTTTGGGAAACAGGTTGAACAAATTTGAATTACCCAAACTTCAGTTAATTGAATGCAATTTTTTTTTTTTTTTGCACACAGACGTTTTGCAAAAAATTTAATCCCTGACGTTGCTAGTTGAAAGGACCATACATTTGGTGATGGTGAAGACTTTTTCCAGAAGCACTGAAAAGCTGGATGGAGAATTAGTTTAAACCACTAAAAGATATATTCTTGTTACCTGAATCATTCAAGTATAAAACCAGATTTATTGAAAAATGGTTAGCCAAACCATTCTACCTATCTCAAGGGGGAAGCCATAATATTTAATATAATAATTCAGAAAAATCATCATGCTTATTTTCACACCAAACCATAATCTATTATTACATTTAAACAATGTTGATTAAATAATTATTTGGTTAGTTTCTCTGATATGGTAGATTCAGATATAGTAAGATAGAATTAGTGAACTAACAGCAAAGCATGATTCAGTTATGATTATTTTCCAACAATCTTTATTGGCATAAATTTTTATGTCAATTAGACTAAACTACTTTTGATCTGTGTGAACTGGTTTACTGTGACTGCACACTAAAAATAGGTTTATGAATAAATTCTATTTACGTTTTCCCTAAACTCATACATTAAATCTACTGGTTTTTTGCCTCTTATTTGAGGAAATCAAAGCAATTCCTCCCTGATCCTCTTTTGTGAAAATAAGCAATTCATTGATTAACTATCCATTTTCAGACATATGTTAGTTTTGTCCTTGAATTCATTGTGCAGTATATAATGTTTATTGTTTATGAAGTATCAGTTTATTCTATAAACACTATTTATAGAAGGCTTTATAATTTTTTAAGGCAAACAAAAGTAAAAAGTTGCCCTTCATTGACAATTGTGATATAAAGCCTTCATTTGTTACCCAAGATTAGTATGAAACTATGAGGTTGATTTCTTAGAATATTTAAAACAGAGGTAAAACAATTACCAATTGCATCATTAGCTTTTTAGAAATGTATTGAAAATTTGACATGCCTTTCCAGATTGGGATTTTGGCAGAAAAGGCAGAAGGATTTGATCATATTTCTAATCCATTTTTCTCTTTTTCCACTCCTACATTTAAGCCTAACCTTCACCTACTACTTGCAATTGTGGGAGGGCGATGTGGGGTAGATCAATCCAAATTGTAATCACACTGGCTTTGAGTTCAAATTAACCACATTTCAGTTTAGTATGTCAACTGAATTTGATCTGTGATCATAGTTGATAATGCAATGTGCCACGTGAACAATATGGCAGTTAAGCTAATTGAGCCTACTGTGATCGAGTTAACCATAAGAAAAATAATGTTCAAACAGAGCCATTCATTATGATCCAATACAGACTCACAAGAATTGCAGTGTTCTTTGCGGGGGGGGGGGGTGCAAATCCATGAAATTGTAATTTTGTAATGGGCCTACAGTTCCTTGGACATGTAAGCATACAGTTCTCCAAATGGAGCCAATTGATTCTCACAACACACCAACCTTGGGTAGCCACAATCCAATCATAGTCCACTTTCTGATGAATTTGGCAGCTCATAATCAGTCTAATTGGCCAAAAGTTGTTTTGGAGCAATAAAAAGTTCTTTCCCACTTCCTCCAGCTCTGCCTGTATTTTATCTCAAACTGGCAATCACTAATATCACTAATCACTAATAGCAATAGCGTTTAGACTTACGTACCATTTCATAGTGTTTCATAGCTCTCTCTAAGTAGTTTACAAAGTCAGCATATTGCCCCCATCAATTTGGGTCCTCATTTTACCGACCTTGGAAGGATGGAAGGATGAGTCAACCTTGAGCCGGTGAGGATCGAACTGCTGGCAGTCAGCAGAATTAGCCTGCAATACTGCATTCTAACCATTGTGTCACCTCTGCTCTTACACAAAGAAATCCAGATAAAAAAGAATGTGCTGCAGTCAACCAATTTTAAGCAGGCATGTTCTTTGGCTATAAAGACTAGGTACCGAGTGTTACAATGAAGTACTTTATGTTTTCAGCCTTTGTGTATCTTTGTTTCATTTATTTGGAAGAGTGACAGGCAGGGCAGGGCAGGGCAGGGCAGGGCCAGAAAGGATTCACTTCCTGAATTCATATAACAGATAATCAGAGTTGGAAGGGACCTTGTAGGTCATCTAGTCCAACCCCTGCCCAAGCAGGAGACCCTACACCATTTCTGACAGATGGGAGTCCAATCTCTTCTTGAAATGGCGCTCCCATAACTTCCGAGAGCAAGCTGTTGCATTGGTTGGTTGATCTTACTGTCAGAAAGTTTCTCCTTATTTCCAGGTTAAATCTCTCCTTGTTCGGTTTCCATCCATTATTCCTTGTCTGGCTTTCAGGTGCTTTAGAAAATAGCTTGACCCCCTTCCTCTCTGTGGCAGCCCCTCAAATATTGGAAGACTGATATCATGTCTCCCCTGGTCCTTCTCTTCACTAGACTAGCCATGCCCAATTCCTGTAACTTCCCCCAATCTGGCCATGTGATTCACAGCACATGGCCAGACTGGGGGAAGATGCTTGATCCAAGGGATTAGACCCTGAATTAACCAGGGTTCTGGGTTTGCACAGGGCACTTGATCCAGAAATAATCCAGAACAAGTGTGTCGTACAAATGCCAACTTGCTGTTCCTGCTTCTGTCCCAGTTGTCATCCCAAATTCAGGCTGGTCCCAAGATTCACTAGAATATTTGACTTGTGAAAAAGGGAGTGCTGATTTAATGGCTTAGTAAAGTGTTCCTCAACCTCACATTGTTAAATAACTCTCCGGAATGCTGGCTGGGAATTTCTGGCAGTTGAAGTCCACCTAACTTAACAGTTGCCAAAATTGGGAAACACTGGTTTAAAATTAGGTCTGTCATAAACCATAGGTACATTTATATTCGCCATAGCTGTCGTAGGATGCTGTAACTCATCTAATGAATGCTCCCATATATTACTTGTTTCCTAACAAGTGCTTTATTCTTGGCACATTGTTTTCTTGTACACGCACTTTTAAACACCTAGAGTAGATTTCCCGACCTTATTTTCTCCAGCTGCACTAGGAGGACGAATCCAGAATTCATAGTCAGCATAGCCAAAACACTAATTGGAAATTGTACCATTATAATCCCAATATTCTGGAAGAAATTCAATTGGGATAGTCTAATCTACCCTGTTTCTCCAACAATATGGCCTCCCCCAATAGGAAGTCCCAGCATGCTTTATAGGCATGAAATTAAGCCCCTCCCTCCAAATTAAGGCCTTTATTAAAACATGCGAAATGGGGGGGAATGGTGGGGGGGCTTGCCGTTAGGAAGTACTTTTGTTGCACACCCGGATATGGTGCTGCCTGCGTTGACCCCGATATGAAGTGCCCCACCAATGCCAAGGTCAACATCCAAGCCATCGCTGCCCGCCTGCCCGAAGATGCAAGGGGGGGGGAATTAAGTCACCCCCGAAAAGACGGCCTAGCCATTTTTTCGGAGCTCAAAAAAAAAAAAAAAAAGACCCGGCCTTATTATATGAGAAACACGGTAGTACCCTAAGGCACTCCTGAAGTCACTGGAATTCACTCCTCTTCCTCAAAGATTTTAGGCCTAGTCTCCTGTCTTAGATACCTCAGTTTCCCATGACTGCCTGAGATCAGTCTGTCAGCTATGTTGAATTTGATTGGCCAGCTAATTGCTTGTGTACAGATTGAATAGAGAAAGTAAGTTAACAGAGTGATGTAATTTCATACAAACGATTGAGCTAAACTATATATCCTAGTTATTTTCAATCCAAAATAAGGATGGTTAAGTTTCTCACTAATAAAATCACCAGATAAAATGCATCCACAGATGCTCACTATTTATACTGTTCTGTACTTCTCTTTTAACCTTTAGGTGGTAACTCCGGTCAGGTCAGGACAAGGTTATGTTTACGAGTTTCCTACCAAATACCAGAAGGATACCTACGATATCCCACCAGTTCGTCCTCTTCAAGGGGTAGGTAGTAATAAAAATGTCATCAGCTCTGAAATTAAGCGGCCACCAAGGTCTTGACATTGTAGCTATTCCCTCTGCGCATATCTCATTTTCACATTCTAAATTAAACACGTGACTTGCTTTCTTTTTAATCTTGACAAGATGAACTTTTTTACTCTCTAGATAGCCAGAATATTTTACAAATACGCTGTATGTTGGGAAGCAGAAAAGAAGAAAATCCATCTCTCTTTTGTTAAGAGAGACAGTTAATCCATCTGATCATGAAAAATATGTGAACGGATAAATATTATCCGTTGCGTAGAATTTTTTTCTCTAAATGCTGAAACCTTTTTTCCCATGAACATTTACAATAAATAGAGCCAATATTAGTGCAACATCAATTCACTACAGTAAAACTATGACTTTTGCAGGGACAGAGAGAATGGACAAACGTCCATTAAATCCACATTTGTGTCATTTGCACAATGTAGTCATTTGCAGTTAAATCTTGATTTAATAGATAAACTCACTTTAACAGAAACTTGACAGGTATTAGTCTGTTAAACAGGGGTTGATTGCAAACCCAGTATTCGTCCATTACATCCAAAATCACTGGCATCTATTAAATTGAGGATTTACTATAATGGAATGTACTTATCTGAGAACTGTCTTGATTTTTTAATTTATCTGTGTTAAATGCCTACTGGGGTAACTAGACCGAGTTTCATTTTATTCATGATAGCAGAACTACAACGAGATTTGGGCAAGCCCCGATGAAATCTGGGGTCTACTTCACTGAAATAAACATATTCCAGTGGGACTGAAACAGAAGTCAGGGAGAAGGGAACATGCTACAAGAATAATATGCAAAATATCTGCAGATTGCTGTCATGTTAAAAAGGCCTCAAAGAGGCTAAACCCACTGGTGGGATTCAGCCAGGTCGCATCAGTTCAGGAGAACCGATTGTTAACTTTCTGAGCAGTTTGGTGAACTGGTTGTTGGAAGAAATCATTAGGGCGGAGAACCAGTTGTTAAATTATTTGAGTCCCATCACTGGCTAGACCTATCTTTCTTTCCTTAAGGATTCAGTAACTTCTGACTTTACTGTGATCCATAAAACATGAAATTGGGTTCTGTTTTGGCATTATTGGAGCTTTTCTTTCTTTTCTTTAAATAGCATGCACGCCCACAGAACCTTACAAAATCTTTCTAGCTCCACCTCTAATATATAGCGGAGAATATATTTTTGCTGGCCTTGGTGCAACAGGGAGGAGGGTTCTTGCACCTTGTAAAAATTGTTGGGGATTAGACATCAATGTGGGGATTAAGCATGGTTACCATCAGCAGCTGCACTCGTATTTCAGTAAAGATGACAGGACGGCGGGGGGTGGGGGGGTTTGAGATAAATCACAAGAATTAATACTTCAGGAGGATCAAGGTCTGGTTTGGGTTTTTTTTTGTTTTTAATTTGGGGGAATCATCCTGAGCCTGACTGCATATGTGGCTTCAAATGTATCTCTAATTAGTTCTTTCTTCTTGACAAGACATCACTATCAAGTGATTTGGACCGAAAACTAATTTACCTATCAAAGGCCTTTCACAGTTTTTTATAGGGTGAAAAGGACTTAACCCTGCATTTTGATCTTCTATAGCTAAGAACCACTGTGTACATTGTGTTTTTTTAAATGTAAATCTTTCTTTCTCTGTTACAGATCCGAGGTGGGGGAAACAATACAGCATATTAAGCTTGCTGCACTGTATTGTCCTTCATCTTTGGTCATAAAAATAAACTGATCAGAGAACCAGGATTGTCTACAGCTCCCTGCTGAGCTGTCCAAGAAGCCTTAAATGACTGGTTGACTTCATTTGGTTCTTTTTTTCTCCCCCTGAAACCCACCCACCCACCCCCAGCACTTTCAAGTCTGGGTGACAGTTAAACCCTTGATAATCAAAAGGGACTTTCACTCATCTGCTTCTGGTGTGTTTCTTTAAAAATATCAGAGGCAGAAAATCTGCCAGCAGTAGACCACTGCCAAGATATTTTGCTGCTTGGGTTAAAGAACAAACAGATTTTCTTTCTCCCCGCCCCTCCTCCTCCATTTTATGTGCACAAGCAAACTGGACTTTAGTCCTAAGGAAGCCACAATATTCTAGAGCAGGGGTCTCCAACCTTGGCAACTTTAAGGCTTGTGGACTTCAACTCCCAGAATTCCTCAGCCAGCTTTAAGACTTGTGGACTTCAACTCCCAGAGTTCTTCAGCCAGCTGGCTGAGGAATTCTGGGAGTTGAAGTCCACAAGTCTTAAAGTTGCCCTGGTTGGAGACCCCTGCTCTAGACCACCCGAGAGGAGCACCAGCGTGAGACACCCAGCACTGTCTTCCTGAGGTCATCCAGGAGATTCAGGAGGAAATCTCAAAAGCCACTTCTGCTTCCCAACTTCTGTTCTGTGAGGCAGTTGGGCCTACTCCGAGGGCTGGCTCTGAAACGAGCCCCTTGGCTCATGAACCAAAACAGTTTTTCCCAAAAAAAGTTCACAGAAGGGGAATGGGTGATTGAGAGACCATAAACAAATTTTGTTTGTTGTTAGGAGACATTGGACAGACATTCACGGCTATTGGCTTTGGTTATCCTACTGAGACATGCCATTTGCCAAGGAATCAATTAGAGAGCCCAGACTGATTTCATCAAGGGCGAAGATGTTTTTTCTTTTGCGTAATGCATTGTTTCTCTGCTTAGATCTATGATGTCCCCCCTGGATCAGTTAAAAGTCCTCCACAAGCAGCTCAAATGAGTGATACGAAATCTCAAGGGATTTACGACGTTCCTCCCACCAAAGGGGTAAGTTTATTGAAGTTCCATTTAAAGCAAACATGTAATTTCATGCTGGATTGAAGACATGTTTAAACAAAAAGTGTATTTTGCATTGAAGAGAAGACGGGAAGAAATAGCAGAGTGCTTTGAACTCCAGGCCTGTTAACATTCCCCTCAAGCCATTTATTTTTTGTTTGGTTTTTTTTTATTTTTATAACTGTTATAAAGGTACGCTGCCGAGCATAATTATTATCCTTATGTAAGATATTCTTGTAATTAGTGTGTTTTTTTTAATCTGTACACATGCAATGGACTGATTGTATCTTTGTGCTTATCTAAGAGGAGTTCAAAAAACATGAAGAAGATATAGTCCTTTGTGTGAGGCTAAGTCAGCAGAAATCTCCATCTAAGGTTAATATCAGGGTGCACATCAGTTGTGCAGCCAGTATGTCTGGACTTCACTTCTGTGATACAATGACTGGAGCCCCACATCACGCGGACCCTTAAGATTAAGCTCCCTTGATTTAGCATGTGGCATCTGTCCAGTTGGTTTGGTAAGGGCCCTTCCACACGCTCCAGTCAAGGAAAGAGACAGGCTCTGACTGTCTCTGACCCAACTTGCAAGGGTTAGTGCAGTCTGTGCACCCCAAGTCAATTAACATTAAAAGTTGATCAACTGTTTTGCTTGCTCCAGAAAATAACACAACGAAAATAAATTTACTAGTTTTTTCTCTCTGGTAGTGGAGCAGAAGGTTTTTGTTGGAGGCATACTCTCCTTCTAGACCAGGGGTCTCCAACCTTGGCAACTTTAAGACTTGTGGACTTCAACTCCCAGAGTTCCTCAGC